CTCGTGAACTAACCAACGAACCAGACTCCTTTTACACCTTTATCAGCCACTCAAAATTGGTTGGCTGGTGTATGTTCAGTTTAAAAATTGAGATTTGTATTGGGTTTTGTTTGATTTCTAGAAGAAACAATTTCTATTAAACCAATTTATCTTTTTTCAAATCGATTTGATAGAAAACGGTTCTGTTTTTTTTTTTTGTTTTTTTTTTCGGTTATTAGTTTGTGTAATTTGAATTTGGTTTCTTTTTTCCTTTGTGTCATGTATATAACCGTTCGGTTATGGATTTTCAAAAACTAAAATAACTGAACTTAAATTAACTGTAATCGATTAATCCAAACCGAACAGTTCACCCAACTCTAATATAAACTAAATAGCATTTTAAAAAAAATGAAAATGCAAGAGAAAATTTGAAAAGTTTCAATCTTTTTTTTTCCTCCTAATTTGGTTCAAGATTTGGAATTCTTATTTGGTTCAAGATTTATGTATAGTTTATTTGTCCTCCGTCTATTTCATTATTCAATCCCTCTTACACATTTGTTTTTAATATTTCATTCTACAATTAGTGTACAAGATATATAGAACTAGATTGTCTCTATATTACCTTATCTATGATGAATTTTTTGTGAGTATTCAAGATAATTTTTGGGTTTTTGTGGATATTCGTTCAAACTAAAAAAATATTCGAATTTCTCAAAATACGTATAATATATTAGAATCTGGTATGTGTCGAATATTCGAAGTTTTTCTAAATTTTAGGTTATATCAGAATTTTAATTTTATATATAATTTATTTAAAATTCAAGGATAAAGAAGATAATTTTATTGTTCATTAGATATCTCTTTAAACTCAATTATTCGAATTTAAAATATAGAATTTTGATTCATATTTTTTATTCATCAGAAAATTATAAAAGTAAATGTGAAAGGAAAGAAAAATAAACAACAGAACTATTTAGTTTGTTCTTCAAGGTTATTCTACTGCAATATGGATTTAAGTATAATTCTTATATGATATATATATTATTTTCGAGTTGTATGAATCATGTAAAACCATTTTCAGTTTTGATTGGTTTTCATAAAGTTAATTCACCGAAAACCATAAAAATATTACATATATCAGAATTTTAATTTTATCTATAATTTATTTAAAATTCAAGGGTAAAAAAGATAATTTTATTGTTCATTAGATGTCTGTTTAAACTCAATTATTCGAATTTAAATTGGATTTTCCAGATTTTTTTCATGATAAATACGATATTCTCTTTGTGTGTCTACTACGGTAAGCCTAATCTCACCATAATTTCTCCGGTGCGGTTTTAGGTTTTCTTAATTAAATTTCATGGGAAGGGAAATTGAAAAACGTTTGAGCATCTTAACCAGATTCCGTTGATAATGGGATTTGTGGTCGTTGACTCAATTATTTAGAAACAGCGGGGGTTGTTACTTTTTTATAAAATTATTATTTTCTTTAAAAAAATTGTTCAAAGAGATTAACAAAATATATTTTAATTACATAAGCGATGACTCCACTCGCATGTCATCTTGGAAGCTGACTAGGTTGAATTCGTACACGGTGTGCTTTTCAAGTGGTTTCGTGTTTTTGTTAGCTATCTTAGTTATCGTAATCAATCTCCAATTACGAGGCTTAATTATATTTAAAGAATGAAATTATACGATTTTACAAGTATCAAGCATTTTATTTAGTTAACGAAATTTTAGTTTTTTTTTAAGATTTTTGTTTTCCTCCCCACAAAATTCATTATTTTCTACTACTATTTCATAACATTATAATTAAGACATACATGCACCCCAATATTAGTTTTATATCTTATGAATTGTAAAAATATATATATGTATATATTAATATATGGAAAATGGTATTCAATATATAGTGTAAAAAAGCTTTCTTGTGCAGATTCTTTTATATTTTTCTTATTTAAAGAAAAGAAAAGGACACGTGGAGGCAGAAGGGAGATAGATGGCGCATCTTCTGTGTTCCATTTTTGTAGAAACCACAAAGACTCGCTTCACCCTGTCGGCTATCGATCACTCCCACGTTGTCTACTCGAAATCTTCTACGTAGTTTTTTTTAATTATAAAAAAAAAACACGTTCTACCTCTCTCCTATGATTTCCATTAAGGTGTCCTCATTATTTGTGTTCATCTTGGATTATATTTTAGATTATAAATGAATATAAAATCATTAATTGTCCGAAGTACCTAAGGGATAAAATCATCCATTTTCCGCAATTTCATATTATAACCACAACAGAAATGTTAATATGCAAAAAAAAAAATGTCACTTGATTTGATCGCCAAGCAGTGAAATGATGGGCGTGGTTATGTATTTAATTAGTATATAAAGAGGGATAGTATAAACACGAGTTGATTAGATGGGGAAAGCAACACAAACAGATTGGTGGGAGAGGAGGGAGGTCCATTGAATCCATCCATGCCACGGGACACTCCACTTGAAATCACAACCATTTTTTATGAAATGAAATGGTGTTTGGGAGTAATCAAAAGCTAAATTAAGCACGACCCCCCACTTGTCCACATTAGTATTTAGTGGCATCCCACTTATTTATTTGATGTAAAAGAAATATTTTGGTCATTTCCTTCAAACTTCATCCAAAAACATATAGGAGAAATTACGTTTTGATTTTTCAATTAGTTTTTGTTGTGGTTTGGGATATAAATATTCAGTTTTTCAACCGCTAGAAACCGTCTAAAATCGTAACCGCTTCATTTTCGGATGGTGAGTAACGGTGCGACCAGTCGGACCTAAATGGCTGATAAAACCAATGCCTATACCCAATTGAATGACCGGACCAAAATAAATAAGCCAAATGGTATGTATGGTTCCCCTCTCTTCCCCGTCCATGTGCTAGTCATGACCTTTAAACCTTTTAAAGAGAAACAAAAACATATAGAAAATTAAATCTACACACATGCTATTTGTATAATGTCAGAGACGTTTAGTTCATATTCTCTCTGACTCCTCGGACTTTGTGATCAATGTATATTGAAGAACATTTAAATCCGTTCATTAATCTCCGTAACTTTATCCCTTTTTTTTTAGTTGTGAAATGATTGCTTATTTGATTTAGTGGAAGTTACGATGAATATAGATAAATAATATTTAATGTATGAATTTATCTTTTTATATTTTTAATAAGGGAACACGTGTCACCCTCTTATAACTCACTGTACTTTTATATATATAAGATATATTATATAAGTAGAGGGTTGGTCTTACTTGCTAAGGCATCCTGTGTCACGCAACTTCCCGAATCTTCCTTATAAACCCATCTCCTCCACTCCCTCACTCTCACCCAATTCTCATACACACATTTACATACACTCTCTTCTTCTTCTTTCGGCGATTTCTAGGGTTTTGATCTTGAATTCGGTTTCCATGGCGCTCAAAGTTCTCAACTCACCCACCGCCGCAGCCGCAGCCGCAGTTCCGAAGCTACTCCACTTCGAAGAGGCGGCTAATCTCCACAGCCTCGAGCCTTGGACCAAACGCAAACGCTCCAAGCGTCCGCGTTTCGACCAGCCCCCCACCACCACAACCATCTCCGAGGAGGAGGAGTACCTCGCTCTCTGCCTCGTCATGCTCGCCCGCGGCGGCGGCGATCGTACCCAGAAGACGGAAGCACATCCGCAGATAGCGCAGACGCTGGTGGACAAGCCGAGTTACAAGTGCAACGTCTGCGGCAAGGCGTTCCCGTCGTATCAAGCTCTAGGCGGACACAAGGCAAGCCACCGGAAACACGCCGGAGATGACCACTCCACCTCCACGACCACCACCACCTCCGGCGGCGGTAGCGGAAAGCC